TATTAAATGTAAAAAAAGTTGGGGTTACAGTCCCCCCCAAAGGGTTTCATTTAAACCCAAACACCCCGCGAGGTAAACCGATAACAGTCCCCTTTTAATGGTAACTGGGATGGGCCATCCAGTCCCCACCACAGCCAGATCTGAGACTAAACCCCTGCAAAGTGTGCAAGAACCCCCACCCACTGCAAAGGGGTTTTGGGGATACCAGAAAGCCCCCACACACACCACTTTGGAGGGGCTAGCCCTCCCTCCCAGCACATATGGAACTACGGGCGCCACACAGGTTAAACCCATGGGAAAAACCTGAAAAAAGGGGGTAGTTTTTTTCATTCCCCAATACACACAAAACAACAGTCAAAAAGGGCACCCCACAGGTAACCTCCCTGGAAATTGGGATGAGTCAATGCCAGGAAACCCACCCTTCAATGAATGATGAAACAGAGAACACTAAAGTAAAAACCAAAGGTACCTGTTTAAAGGGGTTTGGGGTTAAAGAAAGCCTAACCCAGAAAGGGCCCCCTCCGGGGAGGCATTGGGTTCGTTAGACCTTCCTCATAAAAAACAAATTTCCCGAAAAAAATTGAGCATCTTGGGGAACCCAAACCTGACAAGTTTTAATAAATTTTATGTAATCAGGGGAGCTCTTGAGCATGGGGAAAGATGTCAAAAGTGCAGCAATCTCCCCTTTTAGCTTCCAGCAATTTTTTGAGAAAGAAACCCAAAACTCTTGCCTTCCAAAAAAACCTTGCCTTATCACCCCCGGGAGCCAAAAGGGCCCAAAAATTCTTAAAAAATAAAGGGCCTGAAAAAAAGGCCCTACAAACTAGGGTATTTGCTCTTAAGTATCTGCAAAACGTAAATCAAAGCATAATAGTTTTACCATCTTTTGGGGCAAGAATTGTAGTAACTTTACTAAATGGATACATTACAAACTTTTCATGGGAAAAATTGCTTCCATCAGGGGCGGGTTTCCTGACTTAATCAAAAAGTGCAACCCCCCAAAAAATTTATGTCAACCCGTTTGCAGGAAAAGTAGATTGAAAGATGGAGCACCCCACCAAAACTTCCTGGAAAATCACTTATAAAAACCCAAGGTAACCAATGTTTTGTGAGCATGTCAAAAAAGAAACTGCCACATTCACTCCTTTCCTTTCCCCGGTCCAGTTTAAAAGGGAGTATCAGGGGGCAAAGTTTTAAAAGGAGGGGATTTTTTCCCTAAACATTTTTAATCCTATGCCCCAACGAACCACTTCGACTGATGCTTTACCCAAACGCATCAATAGTGGAACCTACATCATTTTTTTGGGGATTTTAAAGGGCCCAAAATAAGAAAATTGGGGGGTCTATAAAAAAACACCATGGAAATAAACAGGGAGATTGCTAAATACAAAAAGTTTGAATTGTGGGCACTTTCTGACCTACTCACAAAATGGGGGGCATACCCAAAAACTGTGTCTTGGATTTAATAATCATAAACGATGCATGACCGTCAAAAGTTATGATCTTTTTATTTTGATCACTTCCCCAAAACTAAAAACTGTCCCAAACTTGATCACATCTCCAGCAATCAAGGACTAAATACAAAGGGGGGAAACTTATTCCAAACCAAACACAAGAACCCAAATTTTTTAACCCCTTGGGCAATGGTAAAAAGAATTAAGACCCATTTTGGGACACAAAAATTTAATGATGATTTAAAATTTCCCCTATTAAAATTTTTTCTCACAGACAAATGGGCAGGAATAGGAAAAAAAAACCCCCCACTATAAATAACAATAAAAACCAATGTAAAAAACTATAATGATCACAGCCCGCGCCAAACTAACAAAATGCAGCTAGGGGGGATTGGTAAAACCCAAACCCGGGAAAGTAAAAACCCCAACCTGCTCAGAACGTTCCAAGCTGCCCTAAAAAAATGCAAGGGAAAAGAAAGGAAAAAACTTAGGGAACGGGAAAGGGAAAAATTTTTTTAGTGGATTAAATAGGTCCACCCCCTTTTTATTTGGCTTGGAAAGGTAAAATAAAAAAAACCAGGAAAAAGACTGGCAATGTTTCCAAACCCTTTCCTCTTGAAAAAAAAACAAATAAACCCCTAAAAGACTGGTCCCCAAAAAAATCCCGGCATGAAAGCCTTCCATCCATATTAAAAAAAATTTAAAAGAGTACTTTTTTGAAGAAATGTTTTAAACTGATTTTAATTTTTTTGACCAAAATATATGGGGAGTGATTTTCCTCTTTACCGTATGAAAATTTGATAAAGCATTTAAACCCAAAGGCATCAAATGCTCCCGGGGAAATGGAAAAGACCTAAAAATTCTCAGAACTCAAGGCACGTGCCTGATTAAACCCTTTTTTGGGACTGTATAAAACTCAGTTACATTTTAGGGCGGTTTTTCCCTACTTTTCCCGGGCCAATAGTTTTCAATTTTGCCTATCCCTAAGCCCAACACCTGAAAACATTTAGGCCCCCATCTCCTTTAAATAGGTTTTTTCTTTGTAAAACTTTTTTTAAAAAATGATGCTAAAAAGCTGTACTACAAAAATCAGACCCTCAAAATTTCCCCCCCACCTCTAAAGGTTTATAAAGGGAAAATTTTGGGGAAACTGAATTTTTTCCAAACCCTTTTTCACTGCACACACCTCACTAGTTTTTACCACTTTTCTTTATCTAAAATCTGCATTTTATATTGCGAACAGAACCGTTTTAAATACATGAACTAGCCAAAATTAATTTTGGTGGGAGCTTACTCTGCTGGAAAAATAGGGTACCTGTCAAAAAAGAGTAACCCCCTGTCCTTTTCACCCAAACTTCAGAAGTGATTCAAAAAAAATGTCCCTTTTGGTACCCGCAGGGAGGGGGTTTTTTAGTCCCCTCTATTTAATATTTTGGGTTTAAACCTCCTAAAGGGTCTACCTGCCTCACCTAAAAAATATAGCTAAAAGCTATACTGAAAGATATCATGATCCATACAACAGGGCATAAGAAAAATGAAAACCATTCTTAATGAAATTCAAGCATTTGTAAACGACTAGGCCTCCTAATATCTTCCCTAAAACTAAGATAAATTTAAAAAGCAAACGACATCCCCCACCCATCTATTTTTCAGGGGAAATCATTAGCTACGTTTAAAAATTTTCAGATATCCTTTGGGGTAGATTTTTCCCTTTAACAAATCCACTATACCACAACTAAACAAGAAAAGTAAAGCTAGGGTAAATGCTCTCCCAAAACTGGGTTTCTGGCTACAATCCCCAAAAAATTTGGGGCAAATGGGGAAATCGTGGGGAAAAGATGACATAGCCTATGTTAGGTCCTTAATTGATTATGGGTGCTCCCATGTTTTATATTTCTAGAGAAAGTTTTCTCCACCCTTTGGGGTTTTAAACAAAATAAGCTCCCCCGGATTATTCTTGGGTGTCCCAGATCTACAAAAGTTCTTTAAAATGATGAAGGGGGCTTGGGATTTTTTAAATATCAGTGATGGATTTTTGAAAATTTAAAACTTTACTTTGGTAAATTTGAATGTTTTTTTAAAAGAACCAAACTGTCACAGTGAATCTTACCAAATGTCTTGAGGTAAAACCCCACAAACTAAATGGGTTGGGGAAAACGGGGGAATTGCATTAAGTTTTTATAACCTGCATGAACTGTATCACTGTAGGCAACAAGACATTTTACCCCTCCCCCGGGAAAAGTTTCATTTAATACACATACCACAAGCCCTCCCCAAAAAGCCTTTTCTAAAACCCTCCTTTAAAACTCTTGTTAGAGCCCAACCCGCTCCCAAAAAAAATTTTTTCACCTAGCTGGTAGTAACAAGTTATCCCAAGTTTTATACACGATGAAACTAAACAGGGTCTTTGGGCCCGGGGTGCATCCTCTTGTTTTTGCCCCACCTCCCTAGTTTAAAAAACGATAAAAATTTGTTGGGGTTAAAAATTAACAACTGGGGGGTCTACAAAAGCAAACTGAATTGTTTGGGAATCCTAAAGGGGCTAAACCCCCCCCCATTTACACTGAGCTTACTCTATCATCCTTACTGATTCTATGTCATCATTTTAAGGGTCTTGGCTCATATAAAGACTCCAACAACATGCTCAATTTGGGGGAAACCGGTTTAGATACTCCCAAAAAATTTGGGACAAAGAATTAATGTAAAAATTGCTATGATCCCATCACCCATTGGGTTTCTCCTTCAGATAAAAATTAATATGTTAGCCAAGAAAAATTAAACGAGAAGGAGAATGTAGAATTTAACTTTTGGGATAACTGGTCTCATTAGGAATAATAATTTGGAGAGAAGTAAATAATGAAAATGATTTTTTATAGGAATGCAGTTAGAAGCCTGAGTAGATCTATAACCCACTAAAGATAACAAAAAACGTAGATAAGTTTTGTTTTTTGGGGCAACTTCAATGTGAACAGGGCTTTACTGATGTTGTAGGGCCAGCCCTTTGGCTTGGGTTAAAAAGTACTTCTGGCAAATTTTTTGGGGGACACACAGAGATGATCAAACTAAATGTAAAAAATGTGATCAGGGATTGGTCACTCTCTTGAAAAAACTATGTTCTTAATTTCCCCCTTATTGGGGGAAAACGGAACAGACATATAAAACCTATGTGACATGTCAAGATTTTCTTAAATTTAAAGAAAATAAGAACCAATATACAAGCAAATTTCCCAAAATTTTCTTTTTAAAAAGATAAAGTTTTTAACTATAGATATGTAGATTTTAAAACCATATTATTCCTGGGTTTAAACCCCTTTGGGGGCCCAGTTCCCCAGGCCAAATTTTGTATCCATAGCCCCTCACGCTACCATCCACAGGGTGGGTTTGGGGGGCAAAAATAAACAGCCACTTCGTGGGAAAAAACAAAAAAAACTTGAAAGTTTTCCAAAATTCACAAAAAATTTTATCACAACTTTTTAAACTTATAGGGCATATTGAGTAGCCAAAGCACATAGACAAGACTGGGAAAAACGAACTACGGGTTCCGTGGCTTGGGGGCTCAGCCTTCTAACCTCAACTGGTAGGTACCCGAAAAGAAAATTTCAAGAATAAAAAGATTCTATCAAATGAATTTCTTTTTGTGGGTTTTTTGAGTCGGGTTTTATCTTTTCTGAAAAATGGCAAGGGGGTTTTTTTAGTCCCGTTTGTAAACTTGCTGAAATGGGTAGTGGTTGGGTTTTAAATCTGTTTGTTTTTTGCCCGAGAGGGAGCTAGTGGTTGTCGATCTGTTTGTATCTTGCTGAGAGAAAACTAGTGGTTTTTCTGAGTCTGTTTTTTATCTTGTGAAAGTGGCCTAGTTTTTGTTGAGTCTGTTTGTAACTTTCTGAAAGTCCCCTAGTGGTTTTTTGAGTCTGGGTTTTTCTTTCTGAAAGTCTCTTTGTGGGTTTTTTGAATCTTTTGTATCTTGCTGGGAAAATCTCTAGTGGTTTTCTGGTTTTTTGGAGAAATTTTTTCCAAGGGGGGTAAACACCCTTTTCACCCCTTTCAGCCCCCTTTTAGCCCTGAGGGGCCCACCCTCTCAGAAAAAGGGGAAGCATCTTGTTTTCCGCTACAGTGGGGTAATTGATGCAGAAGCAGTTTTAAATTTTGGGAAAGGTCCCCTTCGGGCCGACACTCCTTGCAGTAAAATTTCAAAATGTAATTTAATAAGAGACAGACATCTCTTACCTTACAGGACAAATTAAAAGGAAAAAAACCTGCTCCCACTTTATTACCATGGTAAAAATAGTGGACATTGTTGTCTATGCTTAAGGCAGCAAGAATCAAACATTCTGCTTTGCTTCATCGAGGAAGTGGCAAGGAAGCAAAAGTACTAGGTCAGCTTTTCCTTTGTGCTGGGGGCAGTGATGCCGTGGGGCATTGTGGCGTCTTCAGATTATTTTTGACTCTACTGAGAGTGACACTGATGCCAGGATAACCAACAAAGAACGATCTGTGTGTTAGTGGGAACAAAGTGTCTCACAAAACACAATAAACACTTACAGAGAAGTGTGATCACCTTCTTCAGTGATATTGTGTGGACAATTATTGATGAACAGTGTAACAAGTGTTGCGATCCAACAGAGTGTAGTGCGACATTCTTCAAGGAACACTATTCTTCAATCATCTCAACGGATATTAGGGCGTAATTATGGGTCAGATACATATACCCAGGTAAGTGTTCTAACTCTTGATGTGCTACTATTGACTGTGCAGTTGAGTATAAAATCGTGAGTTAGTCACTTATCATAAACCCCGGTGATATGCGGACCTTTGAGTCCACACGTAAGTTTGTCAGCCATCAGTGAATGAAATATGCTTACATAACACCCCCTAGGGGTAATTTATAATCTTACAAATTATAACTCATTTACAGCCCGTTGAGAGATGACTTCGACAGCTTCTCAAGACCTCGTCTGCAGGGGCGGCTGTGCAGGCGATGAGCTGTCTTTCTAAGTTAAGTTTCCCTATATTTAAACTTAACTGATAACCATTTCTCAATATTTTGGCCGTGCTCGAACCGGATAAAGGCCACACTGTGGTCCAAATACGTTGTACTACAGTGTACAAATAACCTATGAGCCAAGGTCCTTCGAAAAAAGCTGTAAAACTAGTGTTTTACAATTTAAATCAGTATAAATGAGTCCCTCCAGACTCAATCACAGAGAATGGGCAGCCAAAAGAAAACGGGCGCTCACCCAGCGTTCACCCAAAGGAAACGGGACCTGGGTGACTCGCCCAACAAGAAAACAGGGGATGGCACCTGGCATCCACTGCTCCAAACTCGAAGAAGCGCTGACTAATACAACAACAACCCAACTGATGTTCAGTTTGTCTGAGTGTATATACACATAGTGTTTATAAAGTTTATAGACAGAAATTAAGAGACAAGATTGTGTTAAAGTTTGTTTCATATAGATATACCTGTTATATTAAAGGAACTTATATATAAAGTGTAAGCTTTCAAATACATATTAACAGTGACATTTATATATATATATAAGAAATATTCACATGTGATATACAGTTATACAGTGACATTTATAGTGTATAGTGAATGAAGTGTATAACATCGTTATTTACGATTAATCATCGTGGTTAGGCTGACACAGCAAACTCAAGCCATAAACACCAGCCATATGTACTCTGTACCCTTCATGGTCATTGACCCTGAGGTTAAGCTTAGTAGGTCAGTAGAGTCTGACTCAATTATTGCTGACTTAAGCATAACAAAAACTCAGCTGTTTATAGCAGTACAGGAAGGCCCCACTTATACGGCGGGTTAGGTTCCAGGCTACCGCCGTAAAGCGGAAATCGCCGTAAAGTGGAACACCCTTTTTTTCCACTTATAAATGCATACAAACACTAGATAACAAGTTTACACTAACATATATTAAGTTAGCAATAGAACCAGGCATCAAAAAACAATAAAAAGGTACAATACACACATAGTGCACTCATTACTTACCTTAAAATATTTATAGTCTTAATCTAGGGTGAGACAAGTAGTATTTATTGTAAGAAATCAAGTGTGGTATGTATTGTAATAGCCAGGCTATCTTACCAGGCCACCCCACCCACACATACTATTCTATGATATTTAAGCATCCCAGAGCGATAAAATGTATATACAGTTCACTCATTACTTACCTTAAAATATTTGTAGTCTTAATGTAGGGTCAGGAGTAAGTAAATGAGATAAAACGAATAAATGAGAGAGAGAAAGAATGAGTACATGAGGTAACAGAAGCAGAGTTATGTAAACAAACCAGGCTCCCACATCTTATATTTATGTTTATTTATTCTATTGTGGGGTGTATTTATCATCTTTTTATGTTATGTATCGTGTTTATTATATAATTTTGAAAAAAATATCATGGCTGGATTAATGAAAATGTGTATATTACCGTAATATACGACATTTAATGAGACTTTCCGTGACTATTGTTATTATCACCACTTGTGGAAGTCGTCTGCTACCACAGCTCACATTTATGTTTATTTATTCTACTGTGGGGTGTATTTAAATTATTTATATGTTATGCATCGTGTTTATTATATAATTTTGAAAAAAATATCATGGATGGATTAATGAAAATGTGTATATTACCGTAATATACGACATTTAATGAGACTCGGTGAGTATTGTTATTATGGCGTCACTTGTGGAAGTCGTCTGCTCACATCTCACATTTATGTTTATTTATTCTACTGTGGGGTGTATTTTATCTTATTTATATGTTATGCATCGTGTTTATTATATAATTTTGAAAAAAATATCATGGATGGATTAATGAAAATGTGTATATTACCGTAATATACGACATTTAATGAGACTCGGTGAGTATTGTTATTATGGCGTCACTTGTGGAAGTCGTCTGCTCACATCTCACATTTATGTTTATTTATTCTACTGTGGGGTGTATTTATCTTATTTATATGTTATGCATCGTGTTTATTATATAATTTTGAAAAAAATATCATGGATGGATTAATGAAAATGTGTATATTAACGTAATATACGACATTTAAATGACTCGATGTATGTAAGTTTATTTAGGTACAGGTATACATAAGTATAATTATCAGAGTATATATAAAATATGAAATAACTTTTAAAAACATTTGAAATTTGGAGTTTCCAGACAAAATGGAGAGACTTAGTGCTTACTGAGCTCATGGAGAATGTAAACAAACAGGGTGGGCACGGTGACCGTATTAGAAAGTCAGGTGGGGGAGCCGTATAGTGAGTTTTGGTCATAATTTGAAATGTCCGTATTAGCGGAACGCCGTAAAGTGAAACGCCGAAAAGGGGGGCCTTCCTGTCCCGTTTTTTTTAAAAAACCCTCTAAGTGTGGTGTTAAATTTTCAGTTTTCCATTAAAATGGTTTGTTTGAAACTCATTTTCAGTCTTTCAGACTAAGATTACCATTAAAAAAACTTTTTCGTCGTATGGGTTTAAAACTAAGATACAACATTTTTTGTGATTGGGGTAAATTTGAATTACTTAAAAAACGTTGGAAAAAATTTAAATTAGACATCACTTTATAAAAAGTTTTTTTCTTGAATCAGTCCATCTGAGGATGAAATTAAAAATGTTTTGGGGATATTTTGAACAACAATTAAGGGGACAGGAGAACGGTATTGCCGCAAAACTCTGTCACAGAGACCTCTGAAATAGTGGTAAACACCTGTTCACCTGAAAAAACAACAAGTGTACCATTCCCAAAGTTTACCTACATTGTCATTACCTATTTTCAAGGCATAATTATGAAAAATTCTTAGTGGTTTTAATCCTGTAAATTCACGAACTGACAAGATGAGATTGAAAAGTTCATTTTTAAATGTCTTGTAAAGGGGAAAACCCTATGAACTGATTAAGTCTTTTCCCGGGGGTTAAAAACCCAATTATCAAATACCCCCTTACTGTCTTAAGACAATTACTTTGATGCTGAAAAAGGCCAGAGTTAGAATGCAGTCTTCATATCAAGCTTGAAGCCACCCCAAACATTGTTTTCAATTAAGGCATTTAGAATCACTTAACAATAGTCTCAGATTTAGGTCAAATATGACTAGGGCAATGTGATTGGTTTTTCAGTGTATTGTACAGATAAGTTGTCACCACAAACTATTGAACATTAATTTTATGTCAATAAACGTTTTTCACTTTGAAAAATTAGCAGGGTTTTAAAACAATAGTTTTTTCTGAAAGCAACGGAAAAGATGAAAAATCCACAAATCCGTGGATAAAAACCTTAAACTCAGTAAAAAAAGGTAACCTACCCCCAAAGAACCAAATAGGGGAAATCCCAATAGGCACTTTTCAAGCTGGAAATGCAACAATGGTAAAAAACTGTACACATAAACGCTCCAAAATTTTGACTTTGGTTGGAAAAAAAATGGGACAGTATTGTTTTTAATACACATCAGGGGGAACGAAACAACGTGTTATCACTGAAAAGGTCATCAAGTTTTTTAGCGAACAAAAGGGAGGTAAATGCTCATGAAGAAGTTTTTTTAAATGCAAGGGTATATATACAG